TCTTGTGAATCTGACAAAGTTGATTTATAAGGGAACTTTATTATCAAATTGGTTTTTTTACTTCTTATTGAGGCACAAGTCAAGATGGTTAGATGGTTGTTTTTATTATAAAGTTTATTTCTGAACTCTTCCCATGCATTGGTTACACATGTCACCTCCCTTTGAGTTTTCCACATTTAGTTGTTTAGTACCTTAAAATGAAGTGGATTTAATGGGCATTGTTATTACTTGATGTATGCAAGATGCTTAACACCCTGACAGTGGAAAATATTTTTACTGTGACACAAAAGTAAACAAAAGCAATCTGGCACTCCAAATGAGGGCATGTTTGGTACCACCTTAGATTCTTCTGAAAGTGATCTTAAAATGGTCACTAAGCTAAATATTAAATGGAAAATAACCAAGTTCATATAAGGCAGAGCTTATTAGTACTAGACATTGAGCTCCCCAAGGTGTCAGTTAGGGCTCCTTGTCATGGTATGGAAGAAGCCTCAATACTCTATGGACAATCTTTCTTTAAATATCTACTTGGTTGTAGAGTAGCCAACATAGAAGGTTAGAGTGGAGCTTGGATTTTGCCCTCATGAAAGCAACAGCTGTCTTTGTTGCTGAGAACTGGTCCTTCCCCTGATGCTAGGTAGTCATCACCACAACAGTTCTGGCATTTTCACAATTGATAGGAGCTACTCCAGAGAAAGGAATGACACTTGCCCCTTTCACCTAATTCTAAGGATCATCAGAACTGTCAGAAGCTCCTGCTGTTGACAGATACTGCAGAAATGATAGAAACAGGTTTCTGTACTGTGGTTTCAATGTACAAAGTACCTACTATAATTGTTTAATATACCCCTTAACACTAACACTATTGTATCAATATTTATTGTGTCAGTTGTGTCAATATTTCTTAATCAGAATCCTATATCCACTTACCTTGGTGGAAGTCCTATCTAATTCTATGCGGGTTACTTCTGACTAAGCATATATCGGATTGCATTGCCAATCTAAACCTTACTTTCTAATGTTTTTATTGTCTCCACTATTATGCAGTGTACAACTGTGCCATACATTTACTCTCCTTTTTAATGCATACTTTATAAGCATCCTGTAATCCTTTAAACAGCTCAGATAATTAGCAAAACATGCACATACTCACTTAAAAAGCCAGTCAGGTAATGTTTTGGAAGAAGCATTAATAGTAGGAGCACACTTGATATTTTATTAGCTTTTTACTTCTGTGACATTTTTCAAGCAACTACTGTTACCTTATGTATAATCATTATTTTTAAAAAAACTGTTGAATGAGATAATATCAGTTCTGATTGCTTTCACATCTGCACAGGTGCAATATGTTAGCTTATGTCATGCATGTGCAATGGAGTAACAAATTCTTTTTGTCCTGATGCCAATATAAATGTAATTTGTATTGTTATCCTTAATGCAGATTTTCACGAAATGTGTCACAGGAGTTCTTCAAATTAGGTTCATATAAAATAACCACAGGCGTGCAGCTAGTTGCTTAAAAGAGAAGGAGCAAACTTTATGCCTGTAGAAGCTGTTCTCTACTCACACATAGAATAGGCATGGGAAATGAAGGAAAGGCAGACTGTGGAAGAGGAGAGGGTTGGACTGGCATGCTAATGAGAATTCTGCTTCATTCAGGAAATTCTCCTTTGTACTTCTCCTCTGATCAGTCAGCAAATAAGCCCTCTTATCATGATCCAGAAGAACCTCTTTACGTTTGCCTTGGCTTGTACACTCCTGCATAGATTGTCTGTATTTGCTCTCAGTAGCAGTCCCCTTATGTTGTCCTAGAAGCTGCTGCTGGAGTTCTTCTGGTTTTCAAAAACAGATTTTAGAAGATAGGATATATGAAACACATGTGTGGCCTGTTGGAATGAGGCCTATGTCAACAAAATAATGGGAAGGCCAAAAAAACTATTAAAATGCATTTAGACTTTTAAGTATTTCCCAATCAGAATTAATAAAAGCAAGTGCAAAGTTCAGCATACTTGAGCCTATTAATTTTGATAAGTTTTACACATGTTTAACTCTCTGTTAAACTGCAGCTATTTATTATGATGCATCTGATCACCAACCCTGTGTGTTAGGTTATTTTATGGGCCAGGAACTGAGGTTGACAAATGGTATATATTTTCAATCAAATGATGTAGTAGATAGTAGTAATGGAAGAGTGGAAAATAAGGACCCATTTGCTGGTGTTAAAGACAGATCTGAAACCAATTTAATTGTTGAAGCTTTCCCTAAAGGACTCTTAGTGATGGCCAAACATCTCTTTGACTTCTTAATGTTGTTTACAACTTCATAATTAAGGGTGCAATCCTATGGATGTTTAGGGCCTACAATTCCCAGTGTCCTCAGCCAGTATTCCTTATAGGGACTTGCTGAGAGCCATAGATCCTTTTTTTCTCCTTCTAAACATCCATAGGATTGCACTTGTACATACAGACTGTATCATGTCTGTATGAGACTAAACTGGTTCATTACTGAATATGAAGAAAAAATGAGTGGAAGGAGCAATTTTATACATCATTAATGCTTCAAATTAAGTAATCTGCAGATCACATATAGTTGCAGGAAAGATCTACTGAATTTTAAATATGGAATGAATCTGAGCTGTATAGTCTGAGGACATTACATTTTCTTCATAGGCTCCATGGATCCAGAGAAAAATGCCGACTAGAAAAACTAGGTTAATAATGTGTGTGTGTTTGGATCCATCACTATTTTGAAGTAGCATGGGTTTAAAGCTGGAGAAAATCTAGGCCACAATAATTAATGGTATTTTGAATATGACATTCCTCATCCAGGAGTCCCTTTGAGAACTAAAGAAAGTAATTGAACTGTTCTAATGCTGGTGGGTTTAATGCCTGTCATTGTTTTTAATTGGTTTGGGCATCTGAGGTAACACTGCGTATACATGTAAGATGGCTTTTTGGTGTGTCCCACTTCAATCACCTTGGCATCCGTTATTTATTTTATTGTATTACACTTTTTCATGCAAAGAGCTCAAGATGACTTACTTAATCTTCCTCCTTCTCTATCCATTTTATTCATAATGCGGTATTACAGTCCTATTAAGTACATGTACTTGTGATAAATAGCTTGCATTATATGAACAGGAAGTGTAATGTACTAGCTACACATGTGAGGTAGAAGTGTCCTGTTCATACATCAGCTCCACTGTTACGTTGTAACCCTCTTGATCTTGTTTGACTGCAGCGCCTCTCATCCTTCAATGTTGGCTAGGGCTGATGGGAGGTGCAATCCAGGAACATGTGGAGGACTGAATTTCTTGCTCCTGCCTTAAGCAAATCATGAATGTTTCAACATCCCTCACTGTCTCCACTGTGGGAACAATAATACTGGTTTATGGTAACAGCTGAAATAATGTATGCTAAGCTCTTTGATTATTTAAAATATGCTGTATAAATGCTAAGTATGCATGTACTTATCAGTTTTTCTGGGATACCATTTTGATTTTTTCCTCAGTGTACCAAAGGCTGAATTGAGGAAAAATTAATCTGTAAGCTGTAGCAAAAGCCTGTTTTATCATGTACAAAAGTAGGGTATGCATTTACAAAATTGTTAACTCTACAAGTCTGAGGTTTTTCCACTAAAACAAAAAGCCAATGCAAGTATTGTAAACTGAGAGCCACACTAGGCTAGACAATAGATGATTGGATCACCTGTGACTTTTTCTAAAGCGAAGGCAGACACTGTTTGTTTGTTTGTTTGTTTTAATAGAGATGCCCAATTCTCTAAACTGCAAAAGTTTAGGTGACTGTTAGTAGGCTGGAAGGGGAAAAAAATCTACTGAGGCCCAATCATGGGCACAGATCTCATCATGTCATCTACCGTAACCCTCACTGAGGAGTGACTAAGGTTACTATTAAGCAGGGCACCCTTCCTTGGGGTATAGGTTTAGGGATATAATTAAAGAGCTGCAGTGTAGCAAGTTATCCGTTCTTTTGGCTTACTGTGGCATATTTATTAGTATCTGCCGGCACCATTTCAACTTTGTCTCAGGCCTCAACATGAGCTAGTGATGACTCTCAAGGCAAGAGATTTGTGTCTAGGACAGGGAATGGCCACTTGTTTTGGCCTACAGCTCTGATCAAATCTTGTCACTATAGCCAATCGTGAGGGCTGACAGGCATTACAAACCAAAACATCTGGAGGGCCACAAGTGTCCCACCTCTGGTACAGGAAGTAATCATGTTGAATGTGAATGCGTACCTTGGCGAGTGGATGCAACTTAGGTCTTGCACTGGTGTGCAGAATGTGTGCAACTGGTATATTCCATCAGCTCAGCATAACCGGGGAAAGCTGCCCCAAGATTGGTTAAAGTCACTGCCATATATATCCCAGAGGGCTTATATTGTCATAGGAGGCTACTTTATATTAAGTCACACTTTTGATCCCATTTAGGTTAACATTATTTACTCTGAATGACAGTGAGTGCATAAAGGCTTAGGCAGAGCTTTTCAACCCTGCTAAAACCCGAGCTCTGTAAAACTGGGCCGCCAGGGACTGAACAGGGCATCTTCCACATGCAGGGCGTCTGTTCTTCTGTCCACTGTAAATCTAAAGTATCCATAAACAGGCTGAAGGTTTAAAGTAACTGCATAAATAAGAGCATCACTATGACAAAAATTGCAGTAAGTTGGATTAGCAGCTGTTATTCTGTAACTCAACACCAGCATTTGGGAAGGGCTCCCCTTGCGGACAGAGGCAGCAGGCAACTGCCAGCTGAAAGCCAGCAATGCCTCAGCCGCAGCGGAGAGGAAAAAGTTGGGATTCTCTCGGAGGGCACCTGCCGTCATTCCTCGGCCTCCCTCGGTTGCCTAGTGACCACCCCTCCCGCTCCAGCGCCGCCTCTAGCCGGGCAGGGATGAACCGCGCATGTGCAGCCTGTAACGGGGTGGCTGCTGCGCCTCCTGCGTTGCCGTCCGGCGTTTGCTCTCGAAGTCGGCGAGGAGGAGGAGGGGAAGCGGAGGGAGGGAGGGACAGTGGGTGTGTATGTGTGCGGAGCTCGACACAGCGGGCCAACCAAGGTGGCCAGAGCGATGAGCTCTCGGAAAGGTACTGCGGGGAGGCCAGGGTGGCCGGTCAGGGCTTTCCCCAAGAGGACGCGGGCGGGCTTTCCGGTTGGTTGGGGGCTTCCCCTCCCTCCTCCGAGTGCGAGACGCCGCGCTCCGGCCACGACCTCGCCGTGATAACCCGTTTCTCTTTCCCTCAGTGCTGGCCCTGCAGGCCCGGAGGCGCCGGGCCAAGCACCCTGCGGCACCCGGCAAGAAAGATAAGCACCCGCCGCACCACAAAAAGTGAGTTTTGACGGGGCGCTTCGGGGCGGGGGCATCTGCGTGTGTGTGGCGCCCGGCTTCCACATCTGCTTATGTGGCGCCCGGCTTCTTTCTTTCTCCAAGGATGTATATGTTCTCCCGTGCAGGGATCTGGGAGCGCAAACTTCTTTCTCCCACTGACAGAAGGCAAGGGGAACCTTCGAGTGCGCAGTCCCACCGGCTCGTCCATTTCTCCCATCTTTCTCGCTCCTTTCTGAACCAATGCTTTCTGCCACCTTGTTGACGTGTGTTTTTTTGACAGAGTCAGAAAACACTGGGTATCTTTCGTCCCCTCCCCCACTCCAGCTAGCTCCCCCTCTGTTCACATCTTGCATGCAGATGCTGGGATTTCTAGAACACCCACCTCTTGCACCTATTCATGGAGCTCTTCAGTCAGTATCTGCTGGTACAAGTGCTGTATGCATATTCACTTCCGTACCTGGACAGCTGCTTTACCCACATGCAAACAGTTTGCTACTTTTACTGATAATGACTATGCCATAAGTTCACCTTCCCCAAACTTGTGTGGTTTCAATGTTTTGGCTACAGATCTCATCAGTTCTAGGTGTTGGTCAATAGTAAGGAATCATGACAGGTGCGATCCAAAACATCTGGAGACTAGCAGGTTGGTGAAGGCTGCCATAAACATACAGGGTGTTGTATTTACATGCTGCCTTAAGGCTCAAGACTGCTACATCACTTCCTTATTTCATTTTTAAAACAGTTCTGTGAACTAGACCATTGTTTTGTGGGGGAATAAGATGGAGGAAGAATGACCCGCTTATGGCCTTGCAAATGATCTGTTGCTGTGCTCAAGACTTCTAATTTTGAAATCCAGTACTCTATCCACAGGAGTATCTCTTGCTTCCTTTCAGTGTATAAATTTCTGACATTTGTTTCGATTATACTGTGGAAAAGTTACTCCCTTGCCTTTGGAAATATATCAATCAGTTTGAAGTTGTATAGCTTTTTTATTTAATAAGAGGAACATTTTATATACTTCACCTCTTTGTACAGCTTTGTGCACTAACAGTTGTGTTATGGATTGATATACTTTTGATATTTTATATATATGATAGCCTTTCATATTGCCATTCCTCTCAGTTGTCAATGACCTTTTTTTCTTGTGGAGCTGGTTATGTTGCAAATAGGTTATACAGAATCAGACTGCTCATCGATCAATCACTCTTCCATAGAAGAAGAACAGTTCTACCGTGGTCTGCTTTCTGATATAATAATTTCTTTTGTGAGATTCTTTTAATTCTGTCTTTGGTGGAATATTCATACTATGAGCTCTTGCTTATAGTTTGAAGTGATACATCCCAGGCACAGGTTAATCATCTCAGTGAGAATTAGGCCATAGACTATTTTGGGGGAACATTTTGAAAGGAGATGGACTCCTGGTTGATGCCTTGGGTGCAGGAATTTAGTATTCAAATTCTGTTTTGTTCTTCATGCTAGTCAACATTTACATGAAGCTGTTGTAAGAGGTAATTGGGCATTCTGTGCCATCAGTATGTTCACCACAACAACTCTGTTACTCCTTTCAATCTCAGTCTATGGAGGAATTGGTGTTTCAACTTGTTAATCGACTAGATGAGGGCAAACACTTTAAAGATGCTGTTGTTCAGGAGGAAGGCATATAATACATATAATTACCTCTACTGGATTGAGTTGCATTCCCTTTGAGGACAAATGTTCATAGGTAGGTCACCTGGATCTGGCAATGAGCCTGGATACTCAGATCTTGATGCTCACCAGGAGAATGTTTGTTCATCTGGCACTGTCAATCAACTATGCTCAATTCTAGATAGATCTGATCTGGACATATTAACACATGTTTTAATTACATGCAGTCTGATCTACTGCAATGCGTTCTATCTGAGGCTGCTTCTGGAAGATATTCAGAAACTCTGGCTGGATCAGAATGTTGCCAGACTGTTGATGATAGCTGGTTACAGGCAGCATGTTGCTGCCATGTTATAGCAGCTTCATTGGCTGCTGACTCATTTCCTGGCACAGCAGTCAGGGTGGGTACAATGTGTTGGTCAAAGTCCTGTGTGACCTATATGACCACCCTCTTCCACCATGAACCTGCCCAGACTTTGAGATCTTCTGGAGAGACCCTTTTCTTTGTCTTGCCAAATTCTGAAGTGCATCTGGTAGGAACACAAAGGAGGCCTTTTCAGTTGCTGTGCCTGGCCTTTGGAATTCTTCCTCTTGAGAGATTTGTTTGGCTCTCTCTTTGTTTTGTCTTTTCACAGCCAAGCAAACACATTTTTATATAGACAAGCTTCTGGTCTATCAGGTTGCTCAGCCAACTGCATTATCCAAATTTTAACTTTTTATGTTTACCTCTGTTTGGATTATTTTTACCTGCTCCTTTTTGTTGTGTGTTTTGTATATTTACTGTACTTAGCTGCTTTAAATAGTATTGGCAGGAATAGCTGCCTTTTAGGTATCTCTATTTCTCCCTGTATACTCCATGAAAAAAAAAGTTTTTTCTCTTTCCTTAGTCACCTGGGTTTTGATATAGTCAGTCCAGTTGCCTCTCTTCAATTCAGTGATAGCTTCTGTCAGGTTTCCTCAGTATGACATATTGGGACATTCCCCAGAATTACCCGTATCACAGGAAAAAAAAGTCTCACCCAGGTATTCTAGTCTCACACACCATCATATCAAACAACAGTCTAGCTCTTTCCTTTACTAGCTTGGAAATTTTTTCTTCTTATACTTCCCCCCCTCTTGTATATATCCCAATGCAGGTTTCATGGAATAGTTGTAGATCTTAAACCTTAAAAACCAGTTGTTCCCCTCATGGAAAGTACTGCTATCCTTCCTAGACTGGGTTCTTACTACTTTTTCAATGCCATTCTTTTTCTCTATTTTTCTCCAGTTCCTCAGGGAATTTCTTTTTGGGGAACATAAAAGCTGTTTGTCTGTCTCTCTCTCTTTGTTCCTTTTGGGAGAATGGTTTAAAGCCTTGACTCTGAAGTGTTTGTATGAGTTGTTTCTATATGTTAAAATTATAGTTTTATCTCTTTATAGGGACCTCTTCTGTCTAATCTAGACATCTAAAGTCTTTTGTTGCTTATAATTTTTCCCTTTTGCTTGTGGCTCTTTGGAGGGCCTTCTTAAATTTATTCATAAGATAGATTCTGCTGAATTTGTGTTCAGTTGTAATTTTTTCCACTTTTCCACTTAGTGTGTTTCTGTTGTTATTGTTGTTGTTTTTTAAGACATCAACTTGAGATTTTGATTCCACTGGGTTGTTGCCTTATAAAGTATTCTATGTTTTCTCTAGGGAATGTGAGACCCTTGCATTTTCTACAGACAGTCCACATTTTTTGTGGGATTTCTTTTGCTTGACTTGGCACAGTCTGTTTTGTGGTTATCCTTGCTGTGTTCACTTGACGCAACAATTTCCAAGAGGGGTTAAATTTTCAGTATGGTGGCTACACATGCCTCTTGTACACTACAGTTGGCTGGCATGTTGTCTGAACAACCTCAATATCCCATGTGAGGGTATAATGCAATCAAATAAGATCTTATTAAGGATTTTATATTTCTGCAATGTAAATATGCCTAGTCCTAGCAGTTTTGTGGTACTGATCAGTAGTAACCTTGACAGCAATATATACAATGTACTTTGTTTACAGTGGCATTGTTTTCAAGATGCTTTTTTGTAAATTGTATCTTGATATCCTGTTGAATTTCTGTGTGACCCATATACTTTGTGTTGGGTTAATATATTTTGGATAAAAAGTTCTAAAAAATGGTTTGATCAAAAAACATTAAGGAAATATTGTACATGTTTTAGTGAGGAAAGATTGGATGGATGTACTATGAATCCCATGGGCCAATTTTATTGTACAAAGGTGGATTGTTCTTTAAGTATAATAATTGAAATATTATATTCTAAGTATGGAAAATGATCTAACTTGCAAAAAAATCAGTCCAATGCAAATCAAACTTTTAAAAAGTAGGAGTTATACACTCTTTGCTTTATTTGCCTTCATTCTCTTACACAATTATGGACATCTAGGTTGTTTCAGATAGTAAAAATCAAGAAGGGAGTCTAGATAGGTGTCTGCCACATTTATTCTTTATGGAATATTTAGGTGCAACTTTTAAAGTCTAGCAAAGTAATGACTTAAGTTGAGCGTACATTTGTGGTGGAACCGCAGGGTGGTTTTTGAAAAGTGTGCTATATTGTTGTCTGAACACACCAGATAAGAAACCATAGTGAACAACCCACAGTTCACAACCCAACAATAATCCATGGGTACTTTTTATGGATTGTTGGTGGTTACCAAACCATGCCTTTTTAGTTAACAAACCATGCAGCTGAGTTCAGACAATACGATGGCACATGTTTGAACAAGAATTCATAGTTCAGTGACAACTCACACTTGAAGATTGAGGGTATTATGGTGTCTGAACCCAGTTAAGGAGGTAGCTTTGTGCACTCGTTTCATACGGTTGAAGTGTGACAAAGCAGTGCTATGGGGGAGGTACATGCCACAAAGTTCTTCTACAATAGGGTTGCTTAGTTGCTTGGGGCAAATTGTTACTTTAGTGATTAACTGAGTGCTAAGTTAAAAGTTGAAGTAAAAACTTTTTAATAAACTTTTATTTCAGCTGACTCACTGGAAGTTTTTGCTTTTAGACTGTCTCCCTCCTTCAGCATTAAATTGCATTAAGCAGCAATATATACGTATTTATAAGAAGCATTTAACATTATAACAGTTAAGAATATTTACAGTGTGACAGATTAAGCAAAAAGTACTTATAATAAGCAGATATGTGCCTGTCATTGTCATGACCTTGAAACACAGACAACTGAAACTTAACATGTATGTTAATAGTTCCTGCAGGTGTGCCTCACAGGGTTATTTTGTTTTTAAAGCACATTAATATATATTGATTAATTTTAATGCATCCATATGATTAAAGCCTTTCGCAATGACTTCAGCTTTACT